GGAAGAGGCCGCGCGCGCCGGCTAAGCGTCGGGTCACGTGCGCGCGCGTTAAGTGTCGTCGCACACGTGCACGCGTGTGCGCGCGACGCGGCGCGGTCGTTGCGCGACTCCTTTCCTCGTCATGCTCTCCTATCATAAGAGTCACACACACGCGCGCAGCGCTGCGCTGTCGGACGAGGTCGGCCGGTCTCGTGTGCGTACACGCGGTATCTATAAAGCGACGTTAGGATGTCGCCATGTGGCGCAACGTATTTTCAGGTGGAGCGATTTTCACCCCGGGACGAGACGGCACTGCAAAGGCTCGAACGAATTGTCCGAGTCGCGCCAAACCGTGCATTCTCTCCGTCTCGTCTCGCCGTCTTTCTCTCTCTAGGAATCACTATAGTTAGACCAAGCGGACATGGCACGTGACGGAACGACGTCTCCACTGGGCTACGAGGAAGCTATACGTGACGAGCCCTGAAAACCGACCGCTGGAAACCTAATCGCGAGCTGCCAGACCGGACAACCCAAATGACCACTCGAGGAATTCGCGCGACGCCTCGGCATTTTTCTGCGCGCGCATCGCTACTCTACGACGCGGTAGCCCCTCCCCCCGGCTGCGCAGTACAGGCTGCGCGGTGGTCGCTGGCGATATTTCGTCGCTCTAGCCGTGCATTTGTTTACGATTCGATCCGCGTAAAAGGACGTTTGTCCTTTCGATATTCCTTCGGTCCACGATACTCGTGTTTTCCATGTTTCCCGCGGCACGAGACGAGCTAGTGCCGCGTTTAGATACGCGCCAAGTTACCGACACGAATAGGAATAATGTTCGCTGTTCGGAACGAATACTAAATGCGCGTACTTTAATATGACTACGGTAATCGTATGCGTGTATTTTAATGCAAGTACTGAATATTCGCGTAGGAATAACGCGCTGTGTAAAATTGGCATAACGTGTCGCAGTAGAGCGGCAAAAGATAATTTCGCGTGGAATTTTTTCGATGGTAGGAAAGGGGCTGTGGATGAATTTAAACAGCTCAGATCGACTATAAATCGTACGCGTATGCGTGTACTTTGTATGGTAATATTTTAGTCGGGCATTTAATCGGCAGCTGAACGTATTTGGGGTATTAGGTACGTGGCGAGCTATAATCAGCTGATCTACTAACCATTTTAATTCGTGGTATAATAGATGCCTCATTAATATTTCATTGGCTAAATACCAAATACGTTAGAATTTTCATCGCTCCTCCGCTTCCTTTCACCGATGTGTATTTCGTGTACTTATGGGGACTCGAAACGATACCCATATAACCAAATAAAGAATGGAACCCCTACTTGTTTCTATTTAACATGTACCCTGTGTACAACGTGTTTCAACCATATCGATACGTACAACGAGATAAAGCATCGGAACCCTCTTCACCTTCGTTTCAGTCCCTTTATGTATCTCTGCTAAACAGATAAGGAAAGGAAGAAATCCATCTTCAACGTGTATTTCAAACAGAAGACTTTGCAACGATACAAATACGATGAAATGAAATATCGAAATTTTTACATAATTTACTAAAAAAATATATTTATCTACGACGCGTTTCATATAGAAAACTTCGCGACGACATCTATGCAATTGTATTATTATAAAAATAAAAGAAAAATAAAAAAATAAGTTTTGAGAAAAAGAACTCTATATTTAACATGCACACACTCACGTTTCATGTATAAAATTCGATACCTATGCAAACAACAGTGCACAGAGACAGAGCATAAGCCACATCCACTCGTTTTTTCAATCCTCTCGCATGTTTATATTTAAAAAACAAAATGAAAAATGAAAAGATAGAAGTTTCACATAGAAGACTTCACTATGCAACGAGATAATTATTACTACAAAGAAAAAGAAAAGAAAAAATAAATAAAAAAAGAATTCCATATTTAATTCACGCACACACATACGTTCTATATATAAAATCCCACAACGATACCTACGCAGTCCACAGAGACAGAGTATATAAAAGACACTCACATTCATTCATTTCAATTCTCTCGCATATTTATGTATAAAAAACAAATATGAAAAATAAAAAGATATGAGTGTCACATAGAAAACTACACTATTCAACGAACTATTATTACAAAAAAATGAGGAAAAAAAATAAATTAAAAAAGAATTCCATATTTAACACACACACACATACATACAAAAATATAATATAAAATTCCACAACGATACCTACGCAGTCCACAGAGATAGTGTATAAAAGACACTTGCACCCATACATTTCAATACTCTCACATACATGTATTTAAAAAACAAACTGAAAAATGAAAAGATGGGAATGTCACATAGAAAACTGCACTATGCAACGAAATAACAATTATTACAAAAGAAATGAGAGTAACAAAAATAAATTAAAAAAGAATTCCATATTTAACACACACACACACACACATACAAAAATATAATATAAAATTCCACAACGATACCTACGCAGTCCACAGAGATAGTGTATAAAAGACACTTGCACCCATACATTTCAATACTCCCACATACGTATATTTAAAAAACAAAATGAAAAATAAAAAGATGGAAAAGAGAATTTATGCGGAACGCGTGTTCCATGCAGAAGATTTCCCAACGATATCGATGCAGCTAGATAAAGCATCGCGGATCCCCCTCTCACCCCGATAGCAATCATCCTCGTCATTGAAAGCAAACGAACGTCGCCGCGGTACACAGCAATTAAATTACACTTACGTTCCCTGTCTAGTGTACGCTCGCGCGTAACCTTCGCCGCTATTAAACTAAAACGAACGGAATATCTCGTCCCGAAGCCTAGACGCGATAGCATCTGAGGAAATACCGTTGTAAAATATTCACGAGAGCTAGCAGCGGCGTACCACACCGCAACAACAACGAGATCGCGTGGAAGGGCGATCGACTGGCTCCTCCGTGCTCTTCCCTCTAACCACACCATATACACACCTCTTACATTGTAAATCCGTCGGCGAGAAACCGAGAAACGTGACTTCCATCTCTCCGGAAGGTCGCACCCTTGCGAACAAAAACCTCTCTGTTCGACGGATTACCTTCGCGATGCGAAAATTCCGCGCCGCCAGCCGACAAAACGCGCACGTCCAGCCTTTGTCCTCGCGCACCTCCGTCGCAGAAAGGCGAAAACGGAAACGCGAACGGGGAGAAAAGCGACGAGGGAAAGACGCGAGAGAGCGCGGAGAAAAAATCGTTTAAAGAACGCGAACCGGGGGATGAGGATCGAACCGTTTGCACCAGGACTAGGGAGGAGACTCGTGATCCACGGTAGGGTTCAAGTTTTCAAGACAGAGAGAGAAGAAGAGTAGCATGGTCGAAAATTCTCACGGGGTTTCTTTCTCTGCCTCGTCTCTCCTTTTTCCCGCCTGGCCGGTGAAGAATAGAGCGACATAGAAGGAACGTTGCCGTGGCGAGGACGTTAGCGTAACGACCTCCGAACTCGGTCGAAACGAGTTTCTTTTCTCGATTGTTGTCGCATTCACGGCGCTGCCACGACGAATGACGAATAACCAAACGCGTGATTAGCATACTCATGCGGGCTGCCGAATTCGGCGAACTGCAACTCTCCCGGAGTAGCCGTCAATTGCACTCGATTAAGAGGATCCTTAGTTCGACCTTGCTGCCTCCGTTTAGGAGGGCACAAAAGAAGCAGATGAATAAACTCGTTGATCCTTTGGCGGATGCGTAAGATAAAACGTATCCCGGCTATTCCCGGGCTCGAAAGCCGGAGAGAGAGAGAGATAGAGAGAAAGAGAGCGGTGTGTGTTTGTGCGGCTTAAATTTCATAGCAAACCGCATATTGACCTATGGAATCGTGTGAATCGCGTTTTAGACATCGACCCGAACAGGCCGGGTCGCGAGTAACGAACGAGTCGGGTGGGATCCGTCCAGTTTGCTCGTCTAGCCGCGGTAACCGTGGCGGGAGCGCTGCATAGGGGGCGCCACGGTGCGTGGCGGAGGCGCGGAATGCGACGACGCGAGGGAAATACAAAGCGTGGAAAGGTGGAAAGTAAAGAGAGAAAAATGGAGACTCGTGACTCACCGGAATCGGAGGGTGTCTGCACGCCAAGGTGTTCCAGGTTCTTGCCGATCGGCTGGTTCAGGTGATAGCAATGGTCGCTGAGGGTGTTCCTGATATTCGTCTCTCGATGCACTTGACACTGACTCTCGTCCTCCTCTTTCCTCCTGTCGTGGAACCTGACCTGCTGACCGGTGACCTCGCTGACTGGCACTGCCTTGGTAGCTGCCTCTGACATACACTCTGACAGCTTCTCGTGTATGTTGATCTGATCGTGTCTGAAGAACGGACCCTCGTCCTCGGTTTCTGTGTCGGAGCTGGAGCTTTGTGGTGTTTCCGGCCTAGTGGAATCGCCGTCGCTCTCCAGATTTTTTGCACGGCACTGTTGCTGGGCCTGCTGACTGATCGGCAACGTGGTCCCTAAGTGAACGGCGCTCGCCCGTGATATAAGCACGCTTCGACCGGCTGGCACCTTTTTCTGTATCTGCGAGTCCTTCTTCGCGGGCAACGTCCTGTTATGCTCTTTACTGATGCACAGACCTGCCCACATGCAGTCGTGATGACGTATCTCCCGGGACTCCAGGCAGGTCATCTTGTCGTACAGCAGGTCCGGCAAGACGCCATCGTCGAACGGCCGCTCGTGATACATTTCAAAGTGGGCGTCCACTCGGTCCAGCGGGAAGTCCAAATCGAACTTCTTCCATATGTCGTTGGACACCACCGTGGCGGTGTCCTGGGGCTCGTCTAACAGGCCCAGGTCAGAGCAATCCCAAACTGGCACCGGCATTTCGCCTGGAGGAATACACCGTACATTTATTTTTTTCCCTTTTCTTTACATTTTACGTAATTGGTCAGTTTGGTTAGCACGGAGCAGGGTTTCTCAACCTTCTCTCACTCGCAATACCTTTCCGGACCCCTTCCCCCTCATTTTCTTCCCTCATTGTCTCCGACAATTTGAATTTATCAAACACGTTTGCCTATTATCCTACTCCTATTCCTCCGAATAGGTCGAATCGATTTTCATCGACATCCACGCGTGGACACGAGGATTCAGTGCCCACACATCGAGAAACCCTGGTACACGGATATAGGTGTGCCGAATTCGAAGCACGTGAAAGCACGCAGAGAAGAGGAAAGTTATAAAATCGTTAATTGCAAAAGAGAAATTGAAAGATCGTGTTCCGTTAAGATCCAGCGGAATTTTCGCGGGCCGAAACGCGTTGTCGATCATCCGGCCAATGGTTTATCGGGATTCCTCGCTTCCTCCTCCGTTACAACATGTTGCTTCACCGTGGAGCACCGTAATAACCGTTCGGTATTGCACCGCGTGTCGTAACGTCAGCGAGCATTATCACGGGAATCAGCGAAACGAATACAGTTAATGCTATGAAAATACGGACAGAGGTCGTAACTGGCTCGCGTGTTTGCATTAAAAATAGACGTCCTTCGCTGTCGATGTATCACTTTGCACGCTTTTTACCGTATCTCGGTAAAGCGCCACTTAGCCAGGCGACAAAAATCAATATCGGCAATCGACAACCGCGTATACGTAACCTGTGCACATCGGGACACAGACGAATTCGATTTTCGGTGCCTGGCTGGAAAACGTCGGTCGATAAGCGTGCACACACGTGGGAACGAAGAGCAAAGAAGAACCGGTACGACGAATCGAATTCGCTCGGACGAGGTGTGCGTTAACCTTCGAATAAATCACGACCCGCCTCACCGAACGTCCCTAGAGAACGCAGCGCCTTTCCTTCCCTGCGTGAGAAACCGTTACGTCTGCACCGAAATACCGACAGTGGTTCACGGTACGTTTTAACACCACCAGGTGTTGTGCGAGACCCTCGAGATCTCTCGCACGACCTCGCATACGCGACGAGATTCAACTATTCCCGCTAACCATTTGAATGCAAAGAGTACAAGAGTCGGTGTGATGTATACCGGGAATGACCGTGTCGCATCCACGATACGAGGAAAAATCAATTCCCTCTCGCGAGATGACGCATCACTTTGCATGCGTTAACGCTTGCGTTACACACAGAGAGAGATTCGATCTCGACGATCACTCAACGGCGGTGTGATCGCGGACGCGCGTGTGTTCGGTCGAGAAAGAAGAACAAGATGGAAGCTCGGACGGTCACGTGCACCGAAAAGTCAAATGACGCGATATGGGCGGTACACGGCTGACTCACGGGTTCCAACGAAATTCGCCGGTTATATCGGTTTCGCGGATCTGCAACACCGACCGAGCCCCGCTCGGCTTTTTATTGCCCGCGGGACTAACTCAAACATTACATCCGCTCGATTAGGCTCACCTCGATGACAACTGAACGCGCGCTCGCTCGTTATCTCCTTCGTTCCCGCGCCGACCACCCTCCGCGTGGCAATTAATTGTTACGTAAACGTCGATTGTCGCGGGAACTGTCACTTTCACGGGAAACGCGCGCATGCGCCTCGCGAACGCCGTTCACGCAAGCGAAAAAGGAATTCAAGTTCGATAAGAGATGATCCAGATAAATACTCGGGAAACGAGATACGAGAGTCGTTAAACATCGCGATGTAAAATCCTGACAAATTTTGTGCACGAAGAATGGCATTTTTATTGGATTTTCTTAGTGAACCGTATACCGTCTGGACAACTGTCATGGCGGATAAATAACTTTTCGACAGCTCAACGCTAGGGATTAATATCGGTGACATATTTGCCAAGCATTTTTACAATTTTCGAAATAGGAAAAGAAAGAAACGTATAATCATTATCGATAAAACGAGTTTCGATTTTTAATTAGAATATTATGTTTTGCGAATTGTACAGTTAGATATAGGGTATACGTCATGGGTACAAAGCGTTAAGCACTACGATATTTTTCAATTTCGCGTCCACTCGATAGAACACAAAGAGACGAAGAAACCGGGGAATGAAAACAGAAAACATTTGCGCGTCGAAATTTGTGCACGCGTCTGTTTTCTTCGCGATCGACGAGGAAGAGACGACTTACGCGTCGGATAAACAAGACTCGAAAACGATTTCGGCGAAAAGCTAAACTACGTATCGGTGTTAATATTTTGACAAGCGCTCGGACAAAGACGTTTGACGGTTAAACGGGTCGTTCCACGTGAGATTCTTATCGAAAACCGCCGCGAGGAGGGCCAGAAAAATAAGCAAGAAGAAAAAAAAAGTGAAAGGCGTAGAGGCGACGCGAGAGACAGAGAGAGAGAGAGAGGGAGAAAGAGAGAGACCGTGGCCTTTGTGACTCGGTCGCCCGTGAAAAACGCACACCGTTGAAAAACAATGACACATTATCCGTTCCTCCTTGCCCCTACTTTGCCGCTGAATCGAACAAAAGACGGTCGGTAGGGGAAATCACCTTCCTAGAACGGCCTTGGGAGCAAAAGAAAGCATCGGTGTGTGTGCCTCGTGTTACTCGGTGGCAAGCGAGAAAAACGACGGCGGAAAAAAAAGAGAGGCAAGAGAAAAGAGAGGAACCGAGAAGAACCGAGATAAACTTTCGTTAAACCGTTCTCGAAGCGTCGGCAAACACGCGCGGAAAAAAGCGTTCCTCGTGGAATAGTAAACAGAGAGGGGCGACAGAGCGCGCCGGGTGTTTCGGGAAAAAATGTCGGTAATAATTTCTTGCGCGAATTCCATCGAGCCGTCGCCGTGTTTCTGCCGAGCCTCGTTACCAACCGATAGGTCTTCTTTCGCCTCTTACGTAACGGACAATCACTCGCAGCGCGATGTCGTTATTAATGGATCACACTTTCACGAAAATCCCGTCGCGACACTTCGCCGGCTTTAAAAACTCAATTTCACTCGGTCGATGCACGGGAGAGGACATTACACGCTGGATACACGGATAAAACAGGGAGAGAGACAGAGACGGAAAGAGACGCGGATTTCGTGCAAGGTTTGCCGCGCGTTTGTGTGCGCGACGGTGCGAGTTGAACGTCGATAAAGGAGGGAGCGAGAGAGAGGGAGTGGGAGCGAGAAAAAAGGGAGGAAGAAGGAGAAAGAAATTATTTGACCGATCCGATAAAGACACCGGGTGACTGCTTTCGTTTAGACTTTCGAAAATCTATACGTACATGTAACGCACACGCGCCACTGTGTACGTGTATAAAGCACATTCCATGGCCACGAGAGCGTCGATCGATGGATCGAACTTTTCTGCCTACACGCGCCGAGAGAAACAGAGAAACCGGTCCACCGGCAGCAGCAGCTTTAGATATAGGTGGCGCGCGATGTGTGTGTCTCGCTAACTTCCGTCCAACATTATCGTTCAAGCGTGTAACGAGCTGACAGCTTTCCTACCGCACTCTAATTAACGGTGGCTTTCTTCGTGGGACGAAAGGACGCAGGACACGAGCAAAAGCGAAATGAAAAACGACGCTACCCTCTCTCGTTTGCGTTTTGCCAGACGGGGCCCCGACAGAAGCCTGCGATTCTTGAAAAGTAGACACTCGCGCGCGCCGGCTAGACGTGTTGCACGACGTTGCGATAGAAAGTGCAACATATCGGTTAGCGTGCCTATCGCCGCTTGACATATTTTCGCGTATATCGATCCCGATGGGACGCCACGCGTGTTATTTGGCCACACTGACAACACCCCGCGTATGTTCGCGTTTCACGGTAAAACGATTTTCCAAATGTCATACACACACTCCCGGTCTCTTACGAGGCACACACACGTATACGTACGCGAGACGGGAAGTCGTTACGCGAATTCGAAAATCGATCGAAAATTTTTTCCTTTTTCGAATAACGAGGCACACGGTCGGATCTAAAATTAATACCGCTTTCGAAACGTCGAATATCGAGGGAGAAAAGATTCGGAAAAGCGTGAATAGAAATTTCGAATTGCTTTCGTATTATACGAAACCGACGCGGCGTGCCCGACGCCGAGACACGATCGCGTTGCGTCAAATTTCGACGAGGCCGATATGCATTGAAAACGTGGAAAATGACGATTTTTGAATTATTCTCGCGTTTGGAAGTGGAAATCGGATTAATTTCGATCGATCGAAACTGATCACGGAAACGCGCGGTCACGCGCGAAAGATCGAAGGAAGGAAATTTTGGCGGTAAAACTGCGAGTCGAAAATCACGGATATGCACGACAGACGTTACGAATCGAGCATTTCGAGTTCTATTTATAAGCGTCGGCGTATAAATCCGAGCGAGCCGGCTAGCTGCCAAAGAAGAAATTCGTGAGTTAATACAAAGTGTTCAGAGAATTTCACCTTTCGCGAAACAAACTGTTTCATCGATATTTATACGCGAAATCCTAGACTCGAGTCGCAAAAGGCGCCGGATGAATGTTCCAGGGCACCCCGCCGGATGATTTGGCAGAATTTTCGACGCGTGATTTACGTAGCGATTAGACGGGCGTCTATCCGTGTGTTTGCCAGTGCATCGGCGTTAATCCCTCACGCGGACGATACCGTTTTCACACTGAAATTGCACCTTGAACCGGTGACGACATCGCGCGGAACTGTCAAAATGGGGGAAGAAATTGGCACGGGGTACACTGGAACGACTACGCACGTCGTTACACGTCCATCACTTCGAATTCGGCACTAAATTCCGTGGAACGGTCGCGGAGAAGACAGAAGAAGGAGAAAATAAGATGCACTGTACAAACCTGTCGGCCACTTCGCGTTGTAACCCAAAAGAGAGATAGTATCCACTGTGGAACACACTTTGGCGCGAGTTCGAATCTCGCGCTAGAAACTGAACCAATAGAACGAACTAAGGCGCGTCCCGCCTCTTTTTCTTCTATATGGCGTGTCCGTAGACTCTTGGTTTGGCCCGGTCTCGAATGATGGACGAGCTACGCGAGAGCGAACTGTTACGCGGCACTGAGCAGAAACTATATGTAACGGAAAAAAAAAAAAAAAAA